ATCAATCCTCGACTAAGAATTAAAATGAAGATGCGTTGTCACCCTAAGAACTAGGATGGAATGCCTCGTTTCCAATAAAAACGGTCTCCGGTTCCCCCTACACTCACCACACGAAACACAGCAGCATTAAGCTGCTATTTTACGCTGCTATTCTGTGAGTGCGTGCTCCAGCCCCGGTCGAACAGACTCATTCGTGGTAAAATCATAAAATAGCTGCAGCATGGCTCTACCTAATGCGATACCCGCAGGCGCCACCAATTCTTGATTATAATTTTACATGTGGGTATTATACCCTATTAACTATTTCTGCCGCTATGGCTATAATATTATGTTACAGTGAATGCACTGGCGTGTTCCGGTCTGCCGATCTGCTACCCCATATCATCCCGTAGGTGTCTTAAGCGGCGACACTGAGAAACAAATCAGGAGATGGGTAGCAGCGTCTTTCTAATAACGACTAAAAATAAAAAAAACCGCGGTTGCCGACTCGCTTGCCAAGCGTGGCAACTTTAACAAATATCCCCTTTAATAGGCAATCTATGGGGAAGGCCTATGTTCTGTTATGGAAGTTTCTGTTATGTTCATGTACCCAACCAGGAGCACATGACCCACTGAGAGGTGAAATGTTCAAATTAACAGTATCATTACATTACCTATCTGCAAAGCGTGATTCAATGGCAAGTATCCCCCCCCCCTCCCCCCTTAAGAGGCAATATATGAGAAAGGCTTATGTTCAGCAGCAGTGGATAGCGAAAGAAATACTTATGTTTAATTTATCACTGGTTTTGGAAATAGCCCTGTCCTGGAAAGAACCAGCACAAAACCCAGCGGGACATTTAAAAAAAAAGAACACAACACAATCTTGTATGAAGTTGTACGATTAACATTGTATAAATGTGTCCGGTTTTCATCACTCACTTTTCGAAGCACGACAAAGTTATTCTGTCAGTATTTCGCACTGTTATTCTGTGAAGACTAAACAGAACAGTTAAGACTTAGTTGGGTGAAACTTTTTTCTATTAAATAGAAAACGTTACCCCCACATTACGATTTTCGTATGTACCGTGGAGACAGTTTACAAACATAAATTGCACAAGGACAATAGCCAAACCCGGAACAATTATTTGTAGTCCATACCTAATCTGTGTGGGATTCAAATTCGTCCTCAGCGCTGCAACTCATTGCTAAGCCACTGCGCCACGGAATCATCAATGACATGGCGACATTTTTAAGAATTTAATAAAAAGGGGTAGTGTAATGATACAAAGTTTTTATACAGAAATAATTTGCATCATTACACTACCGCTTTAAAAAAATATTATCATTTCGAAAACATAAGAGTAGTATCATGGACGTATTTAGAAATACAAGTTCATTTTGGCACGATTTACCTTTGTGTTTCACTGTATTTAATTGTCCTTTTCGCTGTAGGGCCACTAATTTAGCGATTCCGCAAACAACACCGTGTAGTGGCGCTGTAAGAATATTCACTACCTTCCCCATATCGAGCGGGAGTGTCGTCAGAGGTGACAGAGAGAAACTAAAACAGGAGATGGGTAACAGCATCTTCCGGATAACTGTTCAAAATAATAAAGAAAAAAACAGTGGTTGTCAACCCGCCACTATGGCAAAATCTTACCAATGAGGCAATCTATGGGAGAAACATATGTTCAGCATTGGACTTTTGTGATAAATGAACTGTAATCTGTCACTTTGTAGTGGCCTTGAAAGAATATCCACTACCCCATATCGTCACGTGGATGCTTTAAGATGTAACAGAGGGAAACAAATCAGGATATGGGCAGCAGCGCCCTCCTTATAAAAACTAGAAAATAAAAAAAACACAGTTGCAAACTCGCTTGCCAAGCGTAGCGACTATGGCCAATATCCCCATTATGGAACATACATATGTGGAGGCCTGTATCAACAGTGGACTTTGGTATCGTGACAGTGGATGACGTGGCCCACATTTATCCTCTATTAAGAATCGAAATGCAGATGCATAGTCACCCTGAGAAATAAGATGGAATGCCACGTTAGCAGTACCTGATCTCAAAGTTCAATTTCAGCATTGCAACTTAAGTATCTAACTACTTGATTACTCTTATGACCTTTTCTATTCGTTAGCATTTTCTTCACTATCAGCCTATGAAAGTTCATAACTGGTAATGGGCCTCTTTTATTGTTAGGAGGAAGGAGGATTTGTTTAATTTGTTTATTTTCATCAAAAATATACGATATAAAATGAACAGTACAGTGGTTGAAACGCAACTGCTGATTATTATAAGGTCTCGGGTTCATATCTCGGGTCGGGCCAAAAAATCTCTTTGGGTGCCCGGAGTCCAGGAAGTTAGTGGCGTCTAAGCGCCGTGCCTCGTAAAGCACGTAAAGCCGTTGGTCCTGCGGCTGATCTCACTCCGGTCGTGTCGGTTTACCGTCCCATCGGTCTATGAGAGTGAGGGAACAGAGAGTGCACTTGTGCTTGCGCATACAATGGTGCACTATAATCCTGTCCTACGCAGATGGCTCTCCGTTGATTGTCGCCAGCGGCACGCTCGGCAGGCGGATTCACGTCGCGGTCACAGACGTATAACATCTTTGACACTGCTCTCCACCGCCTATCTGAGTATTCTACATGTGGTATAAAGAAGATGGTAATACCGCCAACTATCGAAAGACATAAGATTTTTGTGTTATTTCCCATAACCCCAAAATAATTACTCCTAAGGGACGCAATGAGATGACATCTTACCTACGCCACTAACATACGACAAATGTCCATCTTATACAACATTTAATCTTTACAAATCTAATCTTTACGTGGTAGAGCTAATGCTGTAGCACGAATGGGTCGGCTCGACCGGGGAAGGACAACGCTCTCACAGAATACCAGCGTAAAATAGTAGTTTAAACTTGCTGTGTTTCATATGGTGAGTGTAGAGAACCGGAGATCCTTTTTACTGGAAACGAGGCATTCCATTATAGTCCTCAGGGATGACAACGCATCTGCATTTTGATTTGTAATAGAGGACAGATGTAGATGTCTATGGGCCGCAGCAACCACTTACCATCAGGTGGACTGTGTGCTCGTTTGTCACCCTTATTTTATAAAAAAATACAACATATAAATAAAATTGACGTGTCTGTCTGTAATGTTGAAACAACTTGTCTGCCGACTTCCAAAAAGAAGACGGTACTCAATTCCACTGTATGTTTTTTTTATGTGTGTTATCTCATAACTTTTTACTGGGTGAACCGATTTGGATGATTCTTTTTTTATTTGAAAGCTGGTACTTTTCGTGTGGTCCCATATGAATTTGATCAACATCAAATTAATAGTTTTTGAGTTATTCTAAATAACTTATATTGAAGTCGGCAGTCCAAATTTTTAATTTTAAATTATTTCTATTAAGCTCAAGGGGTTATTTGAATGATATTATGATATAAATAACCAATTTTTGTCTGTCTGTCCTGGCTAATTGTTAGAATGGCTGAACCGATTGTAACGACACTTTATAATGAACAGATATAGAGCAATACTAGTACGGATCAATGCTATATTTTATTCGAAAAACTTAAAGATATTTAAAAAAGAAACGAAAATAAATTAAATGATGTTTAATCCTCCTATACGGGTGAAGTCGGGTCAGGTCGCTAGTGTTATATAATTTTATATTTGTAACATTTTATACGAACTGAAGAAGCAAATAAGAGATTAGAAGGCAGTTACTTATGCGGTTACGTCTAGATCTAAAGATCAACGGTTAAGAGACCATAGTGTCCTCCACACCTGGTCTGACTGGTCACGGAGGCCAGTCTCAACGGAGACTACCCATCTGCGCAGGCCAGGATTATAATGCCCAAGTGTGTGCGTGGGCACAGGTGCACTCTCTATGCCCTTAGCCTGATAATCTGATGGGTTGGCAATCCGATATAACCGGAGAGAGATCGGGCGCAGTACCAACGGCTTTGCGTGCTTTCTTGACAGAAGATCTCAATAACGGAATTTTGGCCCGACCTAGGATTCGAATCCGGGACCGTAATCAGCAGCCGTGATTACGACCGCTACACCAACGACTCAGTCAAATATACACTTGCAATGATGCCTTTTAGTGCAATAAAATTTGATTGTAATACATTATGATAACAGCGATTGAGATGAGCAGCTTTCGTAGCCCATGAATCGATGATCAAGACGGTTGCGCAGGCGCAGAGCGCGGTGAAAGTGTAGCGGGAGAGGAGGGGGCACCTATATGAGGCGGCTGACTACACGCGCGCCACACTCGGCAGACTAGCAGGTGAGCTTCCACCATACCCTATCGACATTAGCTTAGGACTTAACGAATTTAACGTCACAGAACCCATGTAGCGGAAAGTGTTTCATACTATGTTTCGAAAGGCTCTAATTTGATTGTTCGAAGTGAAAAATGATGTGTCAATAGTAAAAGTGACGGTTAGCGTTGGCGCTCGACAGTGCACGTGAACGGTTACTTAGATCTTGTTGACTTTTATGTAACCTAATATTAAATTAGTGATACCGAGCTTCTAGAATATATTTTGTTGTTTTGGAACTGATTATATCATATTATGTAGACTGAATTTAATTTCAGATTGAATTGAAAATACTTTGTGAAGAATCGTACGATAGTGTGTACACCTTATAATTATAAGTAAACATTAGTTTTATATAGGGCAATGGATATGTAACCGTGTGATTTATATTTTGATGTCGCTCCTGTCTCTGATCTCCGTATTTTACTTCTGTCGTAAATAAGATAGTTATCTCGCAATCTGTAGAAAGACATAAGATTTTTAAAGTTTTTTTCAAGTTATCAAGTAAATTTAAGTTAGCAAGTATCAAGAAACGTGACGATTAAGGCAATTTTTTCCAAAAATGAATACAAATTAAGAATAATCCATGAAAATGTTTAACAGTAAACAAATGTATAACAATAAATATTTATTTCACAGACTTGTAGGTTGGAACAAACAAACGCAAAATGAAGATCGCTCTGTGCATGCTAGTGGTTGTGGCAGCGGTGGCGGCTGCGCCACAGAGGGAAGGTGCTGCCTTCACGAACGAAGCCATCAAACAGGCTCAGAACACCTTCCTCATTCCCAAAGATGCCGAAATCCAAAAGGTAATAACTTTTAATCTCATTACATTGATTAATTTGGACTATTGATTATATTTCTAACAGTTTAAAGATAATATTTGACTAAAAAATTATTCTTTTACATCTATTTCCCCATTGAAATTGATTAAGTGTTAGAAATAGTTTGCAAGGAAATTACCGCGCCATTTTAAACCAGCTTTTACTGGAAATGAGGCATTCCATCTTAGTCCTCACGGGTGACAACGCATCTACATTTTGATTTGTAATAGAGGATAGATGTAGATGTCTATGGGCCGCAGCAACCACTTACCATCAGGTGGACTGTGTGCTCGTTTGTCACCCTTATCCTATAAAAAAAAAAAAAAAAAAAAAAGCTTTAAAATCTTGTCACTTGAAAATCTCAAAAAAAAAACCCAATTCATAAAATATTGTGATTCATATTTTTATGTATACGTCGAAGGTTCTATAATATACCAAATATAAAAAATGTTTTCTTCATCAGGTTCAAGAAGGCATTGAGCTGGCAGCATACGAGTCCATTCCCGGCAACCAGAAAATCGACCTGAGACTCATTCTCGGTGACCAGGTGCCCGAGGAAGTGATCAACAACTTGCAAAGCCAGGTCGATCAAGTTGGTCGCCACTAGGTTTTAATTAAGAAGTATTATCAGTAGTTGGACTTCAGTAACGTATATGGACGTAAATGATCGAGTAAGAAAAGAAAATTAGATATCAAAATTTTACAGCATTACAAAAGTTATTAATGTGCAAAAAAAGACTTAGTCAAAAGTGAAAATGTTATAGAAAAGCAACTGATGCTGTAAAATTACCAGAATTCTTGAAATTAAAGGTCTTCTGGAAAATCGACATGTCTAAGATGTTACTGGGTTCCAACTCGGAACCTTGCGGTAACCCGCCAATGTTAATTAATATTTAATTTATTGGTGACTCAAGTACAAGAATGTGATACGATACCATCTCTTTTGTATGTTTGTACATAAATTTTTATTCCTAGTAATAAAGTGGTTGAGCTTTGTCTAAATGTTTGTTTTTCTTTTATTATAATAATGAGAGTTTAATGAGCTATACGTAGAAGCAACTATGGAAGAATATTTTACCATCCAGAAGGCAGTGTATACACGCCTGTATATATGTATTATGTGTATGCAAGTGACTGTAGCCTATGTACGTCTCACGTCATCGAGTGCGTGTTGGCAGATGGATGATGAAGGCTCTTCAGCTTTGATAGTCCAAAAAAACCGTTGGTTAGAGTAAATTTTACAATGTGTTCATGCATGGTTTAAAATTTATAAAAGTGACGGATTGCCAACTTGCAAGATGATGTGGCTAGAATTTGGAATTGCATCGCAGTACGATACTGGAACTTTTTTATAGAATATGGGTGACAAACGATCTCGATGGTAAGTGGATGCTATGGCCCAAAAATATCTACATATATCCTCGATTACGATTCATAATGCAGATGCGTTGGCACCCCCGAGGACTAAGATGGAGTGCCTCGTATCCAGTAAAAAGGGTCTCCGGTTCTCCGCACTCACCATACGAAACACAGCAGCATTATGTGACTATTTTACACAGAATTTCTGTGCGAGTGAGGTTTGTATCTGTGTTGCAACCATAATGTAGCTGCAGCGCGGCTCTGCCACGTATACAAAATTTTTTACATCTAAAATTGGTGCCAATTACCTTTTCTTTTTCAAATTATCCATCTAAATTTTATGTGGAGTTTCGTTACTCTATAATGTCGAGAAACATAGACGCTTATATAGAAATGACACTTATTAAAAGTAGCAATAATAATGGCGGGTTTTTTTAGCTGTGATTGACTCCAATCGGTCCACTACTGTTTAATATTCATGGGTTTATGTATATGATGTCGAAATACATAACGAAGTGGTTATAAAAAATTTTACTAGATGTGCAAGATGACTAAATCCGGGAGTTATGCAAATGTATATTATAAAATATGTATAATCTAGTCTCTATGTTACGTTATTTGATTATCAAATTCTCCATGTCCCTCTACACTCTACATAGATCAATAATGTTGATATACGATGATTTGGAGTAAATATTGGCTCATTATCATTCGAGTCTTCAATACATACATAAATAAAATATTTTTGTTACGTTGAAGAATTTAATATATATATAATCCTCTTCTGTTTTAAATTTTTATCAATCTCACCACATTAAATCTCAAGTGCTCTTACCATCTCTATGCTGATGATCTGCAGTTATATGTGCAAGTGGAACCCTCTAACATCTCTAATGCTATCTCATTATTAAATGATGACTTGAAATACATCTCCGAATGGTCCACTGTGTATGGCATAAACGTGTACCCATCTAAGTGCCAAACAATAATCTTAGGTAGCCCTCGATTATTATCGAAACTAGACATTCCCACCCTACCATCAATTATGTTTAAAAATAATGTTATAACATTCTCTCCACATGTAAAGAACCTTGCTCTGTACGTTGATGATTGCTTAACATGGAACAAACATATACAGGAGGTGAGTCGCAAAACTACTGGAACTTTGCGATCTTATACCGATTAAAATTTTTTCTTCCCACCAATACTAAGATTTTACTTGTCCAGTCACTCATTCTACCGATTATTGATTATGTCGATGTGTGTTGCTCAGACCTGTCTCAACATCATCTTAATACATTGAATCGTCTACTTAACAACTGTATCAGATACATTTATGGTCTCCGTAAGTACGACCATGTATCTTCTTTTCGTGCTCAGCTAAATTGGCGGCCTATCCGACAACGCAGATATGTCAGAATACTCTGCACCCTTTTCACAATTCTGAACGATCCATGTGCTCCCGAGTATCTGAAATCCAAATTTCAATACCTGGGAGATTCTCATAAACGTTCTGTCCGTTCTTCGGCTAATCTTAAGTTGCTTACTCCTTTACACCGTACTGGTTATTTATCTCAATCTTTCGCCCTCACGGCCATCAGATTCAGGAACGACATTCCTTTTGACATTAAAAAAGCTTCCAACAAGTTCGTTTTTGAAAATCCAATCGTCCGTAAGCATGTGAAAAAATTGTTGCAAGTTTGAACTAACACAGCTCTTATTTTCATACACATATGGTATATTTCATATTTGTTCTGACATAGATAATATTTATATGCATTGTGTATATATGTAGTATATGCATGTATATGTGTTGACACGTGCTCGGCGGTGAAGGAAAACCTGACGAATAAAATATTGTGAAGAAATGTGAAGTCGCAACGCAACGCTAACGTGAATGTGTAACTTTTTATAGGGGGGGGGGGGGGGGCAAACGAGCATGCGGCTCACCTGATGGTAAGTGACTACCGCCGCCCATGAACAATACCAGGGGAATTGCAGATTCGTTGCCGGCCTTTTAAAAATAAGCAAAGAGTTGCAACATCTCTACGCAGTACCAGTGAGTCAAGCCGATCGAAAAAAACTCGGTCGTCGAAGATTTGAACCGCTCTGCGCTGGATGCGGTCAAGTGGAAGGAGCTGGCACTGCGGAGCCCCTACCCCGAGATGGGAACAGTATTCCATGTGAGGCCGAACCTGCGCCTTGTAAAGTTGCAAGCGGTGTGCCGACATGAAATACTGTCCCGCTCTGCTGAATACGACAAGCTTTTTAGAGGCCAATTTGGCCTTCTCTTCCAAGTGACCACGAAATTGCACGTCACTCGATATGTCGACGCCGAGGATTCCGATAATGTAAAAACTGCCAAAAACAGTTATTAGATTTTCTGCTAAGAAATTCTCAGGAAGGTGGCAGTGTCCCCCCCCCCCCCCCCCCCCATCCACTATGCCTCGTAAAGCACATTCATACGCCTGATCTCTCTCCGGTAGTGCTTTATTGTCCCATAGGACTATAAGGGTGCGGGAATAGACCGACTACTTGTGTTTGCGCATAAACTCGTGCACTGTAATCTTGTCCTGCGCAGATGGCTAGTCTTGTTTTTATAGAAGTGCGGGCAAACGAGCAAGCAGCTCACCTGATGCTCAGTTTCGACCGCCACCCATGAACAACCGCAACACCATAGGAATTGCGGGCAATTGCGACTACCGCCGTGACCGAAATTCGGCCTGGAGTACATTACATTATCACAATAAGCATTCTCTCACCATCAAATGGGCAGTGTGCTCGTTTCTCCCCCTCACATATATTGTTAATACAAAATACAGAATAATATATTCATGTTTAAGGTCTTTTGGAGATATCATGCGCACTACCTTTCAAAGAGAAATGTCTGCGCATTTACAATTGAAACATGTGCCGCGTGCTGTATGAATAAGTAACATTGACAACTTACGTACTTTCGCTCCACTTAAGTAAAATGTAATTTAAAAGTACCTTAGAGCCGCAGTGGTTAATTGAATTTTAAATTGTCGGTTTTAGTTCAATATATTACGAACAATAATTTTAAGAATGTGTTTAAATTAAAGATGCCGCAGATAGTTGTTATGGCGAATAATTAGTACTACTAAGTTTTCATGTAACTAATTTTTTTCTTAAATCTTAGAGTTCACTTGGTGGTAAGTGGTGGTAAGGTCTCCTAATAAATATAAAAGAGCTTTTCGATGCGACAGTTATCAAATTGAATTTTTAGAAGAAATGCTAACATTTTTCAGGAATTTAATAGGTGACGTTACAAATAGCATGAATTTCATTCCCGTATTTCAAAGTGTCTATAAAATCTTTAATAAAACTTCATGAAGAATTTAAATCTAAAGAAAATAAATTAATGTATATTTATGAGACGTCTCAATAAAGATTGTCTCGAAACTTTCTTTGGAAAACTCAGACAGGCGGGTGGTAACTGCCAGGAATCAACATGTCGTCTAGTTAGTTTTGCCCTCAATAAGATGTTTATAACCAATATCTTAGGGAATCCTCAAAATACTAATTGTGAATATGATTTCGATATGTTACTTATGAAACCAGACGATTGTCGTATCTGTCAATACACTATCACTAGTGTTGCCCAAATGCAAGAACAAGACGAGACTTAGCCTGTCCTGGTCTCGCTCTTGCAAAAATGAAAGAAAAAGACCAAGACTGCAAGACCAAGACCGATTTTGCGCAACACTAACTATCACCGCAACTGGACAATGTTACAGACCCTGATGTGTTAATAGTAGGAACAACTGACTATCTATTTGATTTACCAGAAAAAAATGATTTAGTCTATGAGTGAGGATACTTGTATAATAAATGTTGTCTCGAACACCACAAATGTGAGAAAATAAAATTGTTATATATATATATATATATATATATATATATATGGGAAAAGATTCTTTTTTCAGACCTTTTTTCATTATAAGGATTTTAATAAAGATAGTGTTGAATCGGGTTTTTTAATAATCTTTTCTAACTATTTTATTGCGTTTATTGAACTGCTTGACGAAAAATTTCGCGAATATTTTAACGTCGAAAGACACATTGTAAATATTAGTAGTGAAATATTCAAACGTGTGCAAGATTTTATATTTGTTATAAATTATAAAAAAAAAAAACTTTACATTAAATTTAGACTTTACCATTTAATTAAAAGCCACAATCAATTATTGAAAAATTATAATTTAAAACGTAAAACATCTAGAATACGTGGCTTATAACAAAAAATATTATATCTTAAGTACCTATCTATTAAAATGCTGATAAACGTTTTGTTTATTTAGTTTTATCTATATATATTATATATTTACATTTTGACAGCTCCTTGGAAGCTTTGCCTCTGTTTCTTTACTCATGTGGTATAACCGGTATATATATAAAATCCATTAGCACATATTATAGTCCGTCCGGGTGTCGTAAGAGGCGACAGGCGGAAACAAATCTTGAGACGGGCCGCAGCATCTTCCTAATAATCACTAGAAAAAAAATATGTTTGCAAACCCGTCTGCCAAGCGTGGCAACTATGGCAAACTCCCTTATGAGGCATTCTATGTTGAAGCCTATGTTCGGCAGTGGACATTATAGAGAGGCTGTAATATATGAATAAATGTACACATCAACTCGACCATTACTGATGCAGCACGGTTGACTAACTGCTCCATTACTCTCTCAGAAAAGAAGGAGCAGGCTTGTGTCTAGAAGTGGGGTCCATAATTGCTGTAATTTTAAGCCAAAGAGATTTAAATATATAGACTACTATTTAAATGTCTTTGTTTTAAGCCAACTTTCACATTCTTGAAAGGACCTATATCCAGCTGGACCTTTTTTACAAAATATGGGTGACAAACGAGCACACAGTCCACCTAATGGTAAGTGGATGCTGCGACCTATAGATATCTACATTTATTCTCAATTAAGAACCAAAATGCAGATGTGTTGTCACCCCTTGGAACTAAGATGGAATGCCTCGTTTCCAGTAAAAAATGGTCTTCGGTTCTGTACACACAATATACGAAACACAACAGCACTTGACTGCTATTTTACACTGGTATTTTGTGAGAGCGTCCTTCCCCGCTTGAGCCGAACAATTTGTTCTACAAGTACAATATAGCTGCAGCCTGACTCTACCACGTTCTGCAGTGTAGCCCTACCACGTAGCACTTAAAATGTGTATGTGAAGGGAAAATATATTTGAGTGTGATGAAACCATACACAGTGAGAGGATCTGGTCAAGGCGTAACATTTAGGTACGTAACATAGACACTAATTGATTGCCAACAAGTGCACAACGAGATCCAATGAGAGGCGAAACGTTGTTAATAAATTGGTGCTAACCTTATCTATATAGTATACATACTTTACAAGATTATTTATTTTTTACTAATAATTTTGTGCACTAAGCAAACCAAGTGGAGTTTCCTACGTGCGTCCATTTTTAAAATATTATTTTCATTAATATATGGAGTAATGTGAGCTCTCTTTGGGACGTTATAGCAAAAACGAGTACATGCGTTTTGCACGCGTTGAATTGCCTTTTTTGTTTTTGCATACAGTCGTGGGCCATAGACGGTATCGCAGTAATTAAAATGTGATAACACTAACCACTCAACTAAGGTCTTCCTGATCGTTACTGTTAAGTATTTTCTTATGCTATATAAAACCTTTAAACGATAAAAAGCATTACGTATTTTAATATTTACATGTTCATTAAAGCGTAGTTGGCTATCGAGGGTAAGACCAAGGTTATTAGTATGATCCACTCTTAGTACCTTTTTATTATTGATGAGTATTTCCGGTTTCTTACTTAATATTTTTTTTTACATTGTGTTTTACTTCCTAGCACCATATATTTTGATTTTAAGGGATTAAGTGTTAGATCATTTTTTTTTGCCCATTGGAGGATTGCCGACAAATCTTCATTTAATTTCATGACTGCATTTTCCGTCTGTTCTGACTTGAACGAATGATAAATTTGAGTATCGTCGGCATACAGATGTATTTTAGAATGTTTTAATACTTTGCTAATATCCGCTGTAAACAGTATGAATAGAATAGGACTTAAGATAGATCCTTGCGGAGTGCCTCTGGATGTTCTTCTTATACTTGATTGCATTACTTCCCCTTGGTCAGTGTTAATTTCAACATATTGACTTCTATTTGATAAGAATGAGTAAAACCATTTACATGTTGCCTCCGATACTCCGTAGTATGACAGTTTCGCCAGAAGTATATCATGGTTTATGCAGTCGAAAGCTCTAGTAAAATCCAATAGCACCAATATACTACCCTTACCTTTATCAGTGCAGCAGAGCTGTTTCCGTACCATACCCTCGACGAAACCCGGATTGTGTTTCTGGTAAAATATGATTATCTTCTAGATATCTCGTTAGCTGTGAACATACTACCCTCTCCAATGTCTTGGAAAGTGTAGGTAAAATGCTGATTGGTCTAAGGTTATTAATTTCCTGTACATTTGGACTCTTAGGAATAGGTTTAATTTTGGCCAGTTTCCAAGGATCTGGAAAGATCTTAGTATTAATGGATTCGTTTATTATTCCTGTTATTATAGGTAATGTTACCGGTAAAGATATACGAACCATATCTATATTAATTAAATCGTGTCCACTGGCTTTAGTTCCAATTGCTGTAATTACTTTATAAACCTCAGATTCTGTTGCGGTTGTTATATTAAATTCAGTGTTATTTAATCGGTTGCTATTGAAGTAATTAAAAGTACTTTTATCTATTTTATTATCTCCTGGCACTTCTATAAAATAGTTATTAATAGTATCGGGGTTACAGAGGTGTGATGGTACGCATATTTGTCCTGATTGGTTCCCCACGGGCGATACTCGCTTCACATGGCTCCACATAGTTTTTGGATTACCCTGATTTTTGTTAATAAAAACGTAAAATAAGCTGACTTTTCTCTATTGATTGCGCTGTTTACTAAGTTTCTGAGACTTTTATAATAGTCATTGTCTATTGTCCACTCAAAAGGGTGGTATATTATCAAACTTTAGGAAAAATATAATATACCGGCTGTCACAAAACTATCCGTAAAGCCGAAAAGAGGTTAAATTGGGCCTTATAACGAGTCCAATCACAATATTTAAGAACCGTAGTAACGCTGTATAACATACCCCAAAAAAAAAAAATATGATTATTTTCACTGATCTGTAAATCCTATTTCAGTAAAACTATTAAGTGGTATTAAGTGGTATTCCTTTTCTGCTTAAAAGTCCATCTGCGCAGGTCTCTTACCTATTTCTGTCACCAAATAGCAGCAGGAACGTGAACTGCTGTGTTCTGCTGTAAAGCGTATAGAGAGCCAGTAAAATTATAGTCTATGAGGCATTGCATCTTAGTTATCAGAGATGACAACGCACCGGTAGCCTTTTTTATTTAAAGTGGGTGCCCGTGGGCTGCAGTTGCCACTTACCATCAGGTGGACTGTAGTTCGTATGTCACTTCAATTTTTTAAGAAAATATCCCTGCACAGTTAAGGCCGGCAACATACATACGGAATTCCGTTTTGGGATTCCGTTTCGATATTCCGATTCGAGATTTCGAACGCAGCAAGTTCATATAAAATCTATGACCCGTCATACACGTAGATACGGTAGTTTTCCGTTCGAAATTTTGCGGGCAAAACAAAATTTCGTATGTGTGTGGCCGGCTCGTTCGGAATTCCGAAACGGAATCTCGAAACGGAATTCCGTATGTATGTGGCGGGCCTTACTTTTTTTATTTCAACTCTACGGCCGGCCACATACATACGGAATTCCGTTTCGGGATTCCGTTTTTGGAATTCCGAACAGGTCGGCCACACATACGGAATACCGTTTTGTCCGCAAAATTTCGAACGGAAAACTACTGTGACGGGTCATAGATTTTGGACTTGCTGCGTTCGGAATCCCGAAACGGAATTCTGTATATATGTAGCGAGCCTATCTAGAAAAGTAAATTTAATAACTCGCTACTTTTCCTAATACTTTTATAATTTTCCTAATACTTTTACAATGCTCCACAGTTTTATTATCCATTTATTAATCATTACACCCTATCTTAAGTCCACTGCTGAACCTTTTTTCCACATCAATTGAGAAATTTAGCATAGTTGGCACGCTTGGCACAGCGTTGGCGACCAGAGCTTTTTATTATTATTGTTTGTTACCAGGTAGATGTTGCTGCCCATCTCCTGTTTTAGTTTCCCTCTGTCTTACGATATCCACGGGACTATATGGGGTAGTGGATATTCACTCAGTATAAACACTGGCTGCATAAAAATACTGGCTAACCTATAATTCCGTTCAGGTTAAAAACGGGCCTAAATATATTCAACTGCACACACAGTAAGTAACTCACTAAAACCTTTCTAATTTAATCAGCGAGTTTCTTTTTTTATAGGATATGGGTGACAAACGAGCACACATCTGATAGGAAGTGGTTACTGTGACCCATAGACATCTACATCCTCAATTACGAATACGAATACAGATGCGCTGTCACTCATGAGGACTTAGATGGAATGCCTCGTTTCCAGTAAAACGGGTCTCCGTTTCTCTACACTCACCAAACGTAACACAGCTGCCTTAAGCTGCTATTTTACACTGGTATTCTGTGAATGGTCCTATCCAGGTCTAGCCGACCCATTCGTGCTACAACTAATATAGCTAAAGCGTGGCTCTACCACGTGTAACAAGTAAGTTTAATTTTACTTTAACCTTCCTATAAATAAGACGCGTTTTAAACCTGCAATATATCACAACATTGTTACGTAAGGTTACGTAGCGGCAAAAGTAGTTTCGATCTCGTTACGCGAATTTGAACCAGTTTCCTTATAAGATAAGCCGACAGTGCTATCTTGTTTCGGTTCGGCTCTTTACATCTGCATCTATGGATGCATGCGTTATTTTTTTTGTTCAGGAAATTTAACCGTGCACTAACGAATATGGCAACAATTATGAATGATAGAACGTGAAATCGTTTTAATGTTAATATTATTATTTTTATTTAGTTTTAATTTAAACAAAAGCTATTTCGATTCCTATCACTTTCTTTCTTTCACACATGGCTCTGCCACGTTAACGTAAAGTACGTTGTAGCTATATTATGCTGTATGTACGCTGTGTATATTTATAGTTGTAGCACGAATGAGTCGGCTCGACCGAGGAGGGACAATGCTCTCACAGAATATTAGCGTAAGTCACAGATAAAGTATAAATAAAAACGAAACACAGCAGCTTAATACTGCTGTCTTTCTTATGGTGATGTAGAGAATCGGAGACCCTTTTTACTGGAAAAGAGTCATTCCATCTTAATTACCACGGCTGACAACATATCTGCATATTGATTCGCAAACAAGGATAGATGAAGATGCCTATGGGCTACAGCAACCACTTACCTTCAGGTGAACTGTGCGCTCGCTTGTCACCCTTATCTCATAAAAAATATGGTAATCTAAGATTTATTGTAATAATTGAAGATGAACCTTTAATAAAAAACATAAGGTCTGAAAACTATAGCAGCAAAATGTTGACGAATAAGAAAGAGGTAAAGAGGCACGGGGAAAGAGGGAGGAGTGCTGGCGCAAGAGCTATCAAGGTCGCATTGAGCAACTTGATGACTCGGGCTCGTGCGATGCAATCAACAATAGGGCTGAGACGTGTCTATAAAGAGTAGACAATACTGGCAAAGCATGGGTTTTATCGACCGGAGTCTCTCGTGCAGAAAAACCTGCCCCTTCCCTCTCCCCACTACTGTTCTTAAATATCTGTATCAATAATTATTTAGTTGCATTATTACAATTATCATAAAAACACATAACATAAACACTGGAACACGCCGGTCACACAGAGAGGCAAGCAGAGAGTACGGACTTCCATTTGGCACGATTTCATTTTCTCGCCTCTCCTCTCTCCCGCTTTCGTTTCAAACATACACCTACTATCATCATCATACAACAGGCTCGTTGGTTAAGGGTACTCTCAATTTGGCCCATCTTTAATATATCGTCCATTTGCTTTATCACTCTTTCTTTACTCTTTCTACATGACCAAACTAGCAAAGCATTCTTTTCTTAATCCTTCGGTCACAAAATCATTTTGTAAACCACAATTTTCTCTTATCATACAATTTCTAATTTCTAATCCTGTCATTTAGATTAATCCCTAACATAATCCTTTATGACCGCATTTCTATAAATTAATACTACTTTCGTGCTTCTTCTGCCACACCCAATATTCACTACTACTTAAAATAAGATAATTAAACAAAATGTTTCCAGGTAATTAGTAATTAGTAGAAGTCAACTTAGTACAACAAATTGAAGATGCTTGTAGTAAAGTACATGAAACAACAGACATCTTATTATAAAGACATAACGCAAAAATAAAGTTATAAAGAATGCACAATAAAAACGTATGGATCTGAGTCATAGTCCATCACTGCTGTTCATTTTGGAAAGCTTATAGTCGCTCAGTGAGTTATGTATAGAGTCATGTGAGTTACCTACTCTACGTAATAGAACTCGCGTTAAAAATAATGTCGTCCTGACGGAAATTCGATGACGGCGGCCAGTTTCACCGGCGAGTAGCCATCTGGACAGGATTATAGTGCCCAAGTGTATGCGCAGGAACAGAGGATTTCTTGACAGGAAACACATGATTTTTGTCCCGAACCGTGATTCGATCCCGGGACCTCATTTTTTAATAGGTATCAGCAATCGCGTTTACGACCACTAGACCACAACGAGGCAATGTTAAAGATATAGCAGTAGAATAATAATAACCGACATAACCCAACATACATAACGAGTCAGTAAGCTGAAGTGGAGACGGGATGCTTTTTAGCTTCTCTCTAAATGGATTAACGATCTGGTAAAATATGCAGAAAGACGATGGATACAGGTGGCTCAAGACCGTCTTTATTAGGTGTATGATCAGTAAACAAAGTGCAGATCGACAGTGGACTTGTGAAGCTGTAACAATGATTATGGTAATGACGATGAATTTTGCAGAGACCCTTTTACTAGAAACGAGGCATTTCGAGGTGTAACGAACCCCCCCCCCCCATCTTTTTTCTTTTCTACTATATCCCACTTATACTTGTATTTCTTTAGAATCTATATCTGTAAGATATATCAACTCTCGCAATTCAAATTACCGGTTAAGTGTTAACAACAAATTAACTGTATCAGATCAGGACGTAGCAATGGTTTTTGAGAAATATTTTACTGATATTCCGATCTTGACCACTAAGTCACTAAATTCTTCTCCTGCCGTCGCCGAATCATTACTTAAACATAATGTAAATGTGTGTACAAAGAATTTTACATTTCATAAAGTGACATCAAAAGATATTGTAAAATATTTTAAAACTATTGATGTTAAGAAAACTGCGGATCTGTGGGGGATTTCCGTTAAAGTTATTGCGTCTATAATAGATACAATCGCGCCTCATTTAGCTATTATTTTTAATACTAGTATCGAATCTGGTGTGTTTCCTGATTTAATGAAGCATAGTAAAGTAATACCTTTATTTAAATCTGGTAGTACATTAGACCCCGCCAATTTTAGACCTATTTCTGTACTACCAACACTTAGTAAGATTTTTGAAAAAATTGTTCTTGATCAAATGTTAAATTTTTTTAATATAAATAATTTACTTCATAAAAATCAATTTGGTTTCACAAGGGGTCGCTCGACAACTGATGCCGGTGTTGAGCTGATTAAATATATCTTTAATGCATGGGAGAATTCACAGGATGCTTTGGGTATATTTTGTGACCTATCCAAGGCCTTCGATTGTGTTCACCATGAAACATTAATCAGGAAACTTCAACACTACGGTGTAAGAAGTGATGCCCTTA